TTTTTTTCCTGAATTTAGGAGTTAAGTAAAACATTTTGCAAATGTAAATAACACAATTTACATTTAGAATATGAAAAAAAATAACGACTGCTGTTTTTTGTATCAAGTGCATAATATCTAAGTACAGTATCTTATTTAAAGGGTAAAAATACTCATTACATTGGCAGGTAGTCTTATTTACTTGCTCAAAATGAGCCCTCAGTCTTCCTACTGCTAAACCTCTCCTCAAGCCTGAATCCAACAGAGACTGTAATCTCTTGACAATTACTATCCTCCTTGTGACATGGCACACAAGTCAGAAACACATTTTTGGTATTATACGATAAATTACAGATTGCTCTTCCTGATCCAAATATTAACTAACTCCCTGAGTAATCACGATATGTTGTCTTCTTATAATTGGCCAAAACAATTATGAATGTTGTCACAATAAAGCAATTACCGCCCATATCCAGTCCCAACAATTAACCACTTATTAAATTTGTGTTAGACTTTTTTCCTGTTATAATTATAGAACAAAATTGGTACAAATTGAAAAAAACACATTTTAAACAAGATTGGATGTCAATTACTTAACTCCTTTAGGAACTAAAGACAATCTTTAAATTCTATCTAAGTACAGTTTGATGACACTACTGTGGAAAATATCAGCCTGGAAAGTTTCTATAAATAAATCTTTTTTTTTTATATATATATCTATAAAAATAATCTATGCAACTATTACTATAACATATGAAAACAATCCAAAAGATGACCTGATATTTTTGCATAAGATTAGCATATAAATTATTTTAGCTTCACAAAGTTAAAGCTTCACATTACTATCTAGATCTTTCACAGCCAGATGACAAGGCTTCTTTCTTGTTGCATAACTTTCAATATGCAGATTGTTTCAAGTTCACTTGAGTAAAAAAAAAAAAAATCAGATCTTCGCTGAGCAAAGTAATCACAGTCACTCATAAGAAATAAAATGGTACGTATCTAGAAGGAATATTTGCAACAGCTATGATTAATGCAGCAAAACTGAAAATCTGAAACTGAAATCAAAACTGAAAAGTAATTCCCAAATCATGTTATTGCCAGAAGCATATTTTATGGTTATATGAAAAGCTTGCAGAAATGGGAAAATAAAGCAAACATGAAGTTAACATTGCCTGCTGCTAACACTATCACTGCTAGATTGCTGTAATAACTGAACTTATTAGTCTCACAATGGAGAAATTTGCCTCTGCATTTAACCCATGTCCTTGGGGAGCAGTTCGGGGTTAAGGGTCTTGCTCAGAGACCCAGAGTGGCAGTCTGTGGGAGTGGGGCTTGAACTCCAAACCTCAGTATAATATAATATAATATTGCTTATATACACAGCAAGCCCAACGTAAAATGATGAATCTGTTGCATATATTAGTTAATAGAATATGCTGTGACAAGGAACAAGGGTCACTGACAAAACAGTGATCATCAGTCCTCTGACGTTGATGTTGGAATGGTTTAAACCCCAAATTAAATATAGTAATAAATCCCTGTAACAGCTACTAAGGTAAAAAATGTTGAAAAAGTAAATTGACCCATTGTGAATCAATCCAAGTTGGAACAGGTGGAAAAGGGGCAAATGTATTGGGTATCTTGGTCTTTATGATGCTGGTTTTTTTTGCTGTAATTCAATTCAATTCAATTCATTTTATTTATATAGCGCCAATTCACGACACAAGTCATCTCAAGGCACTTTACAGTTCACCAGATCATCCAGTCAAATTGATTCAAAGTTTCCTATCTAAAGAAAACCAGTTGATTGCATTGAGTCATTGTACAGTAATGTAATGTAATGTAGTGTAAAGTTATCAAACAGCTGTTTTTATACAAAAAATAATTACAAAGGTTGACCCTTAAATAACAGTTGATGTTTGATTGGATTTTATTACTGGTTATGAAAGTAAAAGGGGGAATACTTACATTAAGTCTGTAGTTTTATATATCTGGGGGAAAAAAAATCAAATAGACATTTCTTTTTGAGGTGTACTTATGTACTTCATTTTTAGGTATGTCGTACACATTCCCAATTCAGTGCTTGGAATTTGTCATTGTAATTTCACAAACTGTATAAAAAAAACAAGAAAAAAAACCCAAAAAGCTTCAAGATTTTGTGACATATCCTTAAAAAAAAAGATAAATAAGCACAGGACAGTTTGCACTTTAATATATTATTCATTAAAAAAAAAACATGTTTAAAATGTATTATGAAAGTCGTCCTTTGCTCTAAATTCTAAATGGCAATAAACATTATAAGCAATAACACAAACAAAATGTTAAAAAAAAAAGCAGAGAAAATAGCTAAAGGTAAATAAGATAGCATACCATTACTACACAGAAAATACAAAGTGTGTGTTCTAATACCATATTGAAGCATCCATTATGAATGTAATGATGCAGGCTTCAGAAATATGACTTCATTTCCAATCCAAAGTAAAACAGAGTTTTAAAGAAGCCTATCTGACTCCCCAGCCAGAATATGATTTTGCAAATGCACCACAGAAGTTAATCGAACAACTCTGTCTCACAATGCCCACATATAGTAGAGTGCAGATGCAATAAGCAGGCTGAGTTTTGTAGAGATAAAAGGGAAAGCATTATGAGGCCACACTAATTGAGCCTTTAAAACCAAGTCTCACTGTGGCACCAGGGTGCCTTGTTCTGTAGTGGGTGTTGATAAAAAAAAAAATTGCCCTGAATAGCACTTCGTATTATAGATGGTGTTTGTGTGTTCCTTAAAGAGCTTTGCTATGAGTAAAGTTATAGGACTTTAATCAGCCAATAAAAATTTCCCCTTCAAAGGAATATGGGAATAGTAAGTTAGACAAATTGTATATGGGGTTAAAGTTTTTGAGGAGAATAACAGTTATCTGACAATATGGACAATAACAGTTCATCTCCTGCTAAAATATTTAAATACCATACTCAACATTTTTTGCTAGGTTTAAGCACTCATGTAACAAGAAAACTGAAGTTTCATTCAATGAAACAAATAACAACATTGCTGTTATTTTGAGCTATCTACAAACTAAAGAGAAATAAAGAAACCTGTTGTAATTTTATTGTAGCATCTTTTGCAGAAGGACATCTTTTGGTCTCCTTTTGATAAAAAATGCTTGACTAGATCAACAAAAATATGGTGTGATGAAACTGGCTTGTTATATATAATATACTAGTCTGACAGAGTATGAAACCTTTTATGAGCCACAAACCTATTCCAAAAGGATCCCCAGCACTTTATGTTTTCATTTACACTATATGGAGTTTGAATGTTGTGCCTTTATCTTTAAGGAACAAATTGGTATTTCCTTGCAGTTTACAACTATGCTTTGCTTTAATTCTTGCTCAATGTAAGGTATTAGTTGAACAACCATATTGTCACAGAACAGATTGTCTGATTTCTGACGCACCAATTATTTTTAGTAACTAGAAGAATGTGAAGTCAACCCCCCTACCTGTGTATCTATGATGCCATGCTTCTTTAATCCTGCAAAATGATTAGCCATTGGGTATTTAATACATAGAACCTATTTGCTATAAAGGTAAAAAGAAATTAAATAAATAATCAAATAAATAATTAAGTTTTAACTTCATTAAGCTGAGTTTAATCACTTAATGTTACTTGTTAATGCCCTAGTACTAGAAGTTCGATTTTGCAGAGGCAGATACACAATTTTGTAAAAGATGTCAGATAAATATCCCTAACAATAGCAATTGCTGTCTTTTTTAGTAAAAGTTATCTTTCTACATACAGAGGGCAACAAGTTTACTAATAGGTGTAGTAAAGTATTAGAAAACTTAAGGTCCATTTATACTGGTTTTTGTGCTAAAAGCAAATGATTGACATGTTGTTCTTATGTAGAGAGCTTTTTAGGAGTTCTGCAAAACTACAGATGCCAAAGGCGCCTTTTTAAGCGTTTAATCAGGGACTAGCTTTGCTGTGACATAGGGTAAACGAGCAAAACGAAACAAGCTTTTTTCAATCAAAATTAAATATAGTTCACAAAGGAAGAAGTGGGAAATGTGCTCAAGAGGTTTGTAGGAAGGTTTTAAAAAGCCATTTTAGTTTAGCCCTGGAGGAACTGTTCAATCGTTCATCATTCCTCATCTTCCCTAACGCTGGCCAGCAGCTGCTACCTCTCCTCCACTTTAGCATAGTTTCAGATCCTAGAAGTATTGCGAAAAGCTGCCATCATCCAGTTATAGCTCAAAGACTCCCCGAACTGGGAGCATCTCTGGACGATTGGGTGGACCCACTGTCCATCAGAGGTGCACAATCACCAGACCCTGAGGAAGACTGACAACCACAAATTTCCAAAAAAGTAAAAAAGTAACCTTTACCTTAATTTTAATTTAGCCTTTTTGCAATCTTTACTTTAATTTGAGTATCAACTCACAAGGTTGTCTTTAAACATGTTTGGATAAAAATGTCATCAGTGTTCCTGAACTTTTACTTAAGTCATCTTTTTTCTCCTCTGCATTGCAGCAAGTACTGTTCAGGAGAGATCCATACTGTGACATGTCAATCATCTATAGAGGGGCTCTTTGGGGGCCCCCCACTCAAGCTGCACAAGCTCCACCTCTGTCCACTATCCAGGTGCATTTCTGTCAATGACATGGTTCTTTTTGTTTTACAGTGTGTTACAATATGATTTGTTTTGCCAGTTTCTGAAGTAAGTGAAGTAATGATTATTAAACAATGGATCTATTACAAGTTGCCCGCCTTGGTTCTGTGCCCTTGTCAAAGTCTTGATTGATGGTCCTCTGTTTGTTAATGCTAGGAATGACTTAGGGGGAACCATATTTATTGCCAGTGATGCCCAACAGTAAGCAGTAAAACTTGAAGTGACGAAAAGTTGGTTTGATCCTGCATCAAGCTTTTTTATGATTTGCATATAATTTCCATACACTTAATTTAAGTAGTATTTTGCTACATTTGTGTAATAGCATGTCATGAATTGCTCTGTACTTACCCTTCCCTCTGTGCTTCGCCTTTTTCCAACTCCTGAATAACTCCAAGGAGAACTTTGATGGTTTCTTGGCTTGAGCTGATGAGATTCTCCATGGCCTGCAGCTGTGCTTTCATATCCTTGTCTCCAGATAAGGATATTATCTGCTGACTGCTCCCTAAGCCTGGAGCTTGTGTGCCTCCTGGTGGAAAGCTCTCATACCCCTCAGTAGTTTGCTGCAGTTTAGAAGAGGCTGAGCCATGCCTTGCCCGATACTGTCCTTGTGACTGCACAGAGCATTTAACACTATGAGGTAAAGTTTGAGACTGTTGCTCATTTAGCTGTGAGCCCTTTTTCCTTTTACAGCTCACAGAGGGGCTCTCTATGGACTCCACTTGTGTCAAAGAGTTCCAAGCCACAGGGCCCATGCCCCTTGGCTTATTTTCTGAGAACTCGGAGTCCCCAAGCTGACGCTTTGAGGAAAAACCAGAGTCAGTGTCTTCTTTGGGTAATCCTTTGTGTTTAGTCCATTTCCCACAAACTTGATACTCTGGCTCATTTCTAGAAGACTGTTCACTCGAAAGTATTTCTTCCGTAAAGCGTAAGGAGTCTGGATATGAAGGTCCATCCACACAGTTACCACTTGACAGCAAATCCTCTGTATCACTGCTGTCATCCATGTGATGAAGCAGGGCTTTTGTCTGTCCTATATTTTTACCCTTGCACTTGGAAGGCTCATCGGCTGGTTCACCATCAACTCCCCCTGTCTTTATATCACTCAAAAACCCATTGTTTTGGCGTCTGTAATCTTCCACCAAAGCTGTATGTTTAAATGTGTGTCCTTTTTTCCTCTCAAAAGGAAACGTTTTGTATCTCTTAGTAAGGTCTGGTGATGTCTGGACACCCGTGCTCCTAGTCACGTTTGGAATAGACCTTCTGGCTGGCATGGTCATGTACTTTCGATGTTTAACCTTGCAAGAAATTGACCTAGAGTGTCTTCCTCGCTGTTCTTTTTGAGCTTCACAGATATCCTTGAACCGCACTTGCAAAGCTTTGTTTCTCTTCTTCACCTCTTGCCCACTTGATTCTAATCCAGGAATTGAGGTGTGTGAAGGTCGCTCCTCTGAATCTGATTCATCTGAACTTGACAGAACTACGCATGAGGCATCCTCTTTGCTCACCATATTTCCTGAAATGATAAAACAGGATTTATGAGTTAAATTACCTCTTTGGAAAAAACAAAACAAAAAAACAAAAACTCTCTTTTAGGGGATACAATTTCAGATGAATGGGGAGAATGTCTGATACAAGTTTTAGGAGTAACAAAAAGAACAAAGACTAAATAATCAGGGATCTAATACTTCAAGATCAAAGTTATATTCCAATAGAGGTTGTCCTACAATGCTTTTAATCCCTCCACATTTTACTCCAGACCTGCTCTCTGTATTCCTTTTTTTCTGCTTATGTACTAATGTTGTCCAACAAACCTCTTTGGTATTATGTTAAGATTCATTTGCTCACAGATGGTCTCTAGATATCAATTATACATCTCTTTAAAGTCAGTTGCTTGTGATGATCAAGCAGGTACAAGAGAAATATACTACACTTCTTTTATCTTTATTTGTGAGTGTAAATAATTTGTGCTATTTTACTACTCCTTAAGTATGCAGTAATTTTTTTTGTTGGTCTATGACACAGAGTTGTTCTTGTCGAAAGAATCCTGTCCCACATTTTAAAACCCCAATTTATATGAGTCGCTGAATTTTTAGTTTTCTCTGCTTATTTATGAGAACAAAGCAGTGACAAAAGAGTTTTTATTTCCATTGTTGCTCTGTTTTGCTCAACTCTACAAAAACTATTTGGATGCAATGGCATCTCACATGCAGCTTCCTTGCCAACTATTGGCATGATTTACTTTAAGAGAGCTTTCCGGAATAATAATTGCCTCCACCCTGTCATTCTTACTGGTTTGCAATCTTCTACATACATACATAACTCATCTAAAAGGGGTTTTCGCTTTTAACCCTGTCCAGTACTGCTAATTCCTTTGCTTAAGATAGCATGTGATGTAAGCAGGTAAAGGGAGGTTGGCTTCAGTATTTGTTTAATTTCTACTCTTGCAAAAATTAATAACTTTGCCTTTGACATATAATTTAATCTATTAAAACTGTAATAAAACAGCAGTATTTGTTGTGTTTGAAGAACTACTGACTTAGATGATGTTGTCTTTGGGGGCCCTTGCTGGGTCACTATGAACCTTCTTCGCTCTGGACTAATAGTGTAATTAAGCTTTAATGATTTCATTTGGTGTTGACTTTAAAAATATATCTTTTGCTTTACTTAAGATTTACTATAGGAAATGTATAAATATATATTTATGCCCAGGCTCAAACTTGTAATCTTATGAGACATTTTACTTTACTGTTCTTTATATTTTAGTTTTATCTAAAATTACATCTCACTGCTGTGCTACAATGCAATCAGCCACACCTATTACTAACCTTATATTCTTGCATCCACCTGCTTTTCAATAAACCTTCATAGCATGTTTATGCTTTGTGGACTGCTGTGTTGAGAATTTAATAGTATACTTGTCACAGTGTTTGGAAGTGTTTAGCAAAGAAATGGCCGGAGGGGGCTTGGTGCTAAGGCTCCTTGCTAAAGGTGTTTACTATATAATATATTCCTCCTGTGTATTGAGGTACCCTAGAAGAAATGGCCTTGGAGCAGCTGTGGCCCACACATATAACACTCTGAAATAATAACTGGTGTTGAGATCCTCCATCTGTATATACCTAGGCACTGAAACTCCCCAGGGAGAAATTTATTGTCCTCACTCCTCGGATCTCAGCTTTCCTTAAGTGGAGACGCTAGGTCAAAAACTGAGCACATAATATGAACATGGTAAGCCCAGTGATCACATTTTAAAATGAGCTGGTTGAATTAAATCTACCAAACTCTCAACAAAAAGAAAATCTGAGAATAGATACAAACTAGCTTAAGAGATTTAGAAGTAACCTATAAACAAATTCTTAGAACAATGGAAGAGTTTATTTTTTATGGTTAATCTAAAAGAACTGTTTGCTAAGCCACCAAAAACATAATTATTTTAAAATTTTTGAAACATTGTAAGGTTCATGTGTCAGTGATATAGAGCTAAATCAGAGGGCAACATTCAGGAATCTGTCTCCTGAGAAACTAGTAATCCAACTTTATTTCTATATAACTTCCAGCTACGTCCATTGATAGCTAATTTTTGAGTGTTGAAGTCCATCCTTAGATAAAAAAAAAAAAAGAAAGAAAGAAAGAAACAAACAAACATAATTTTATATCTATGTAATCTATTGTTAAAGCCCAGACTCCTGAACCCAAACTAAAACCATAACACATTTCAAGGTCATGCTCCCTGTGGCTTAATTAAATGAGCAACCTGAAGCCAGAGCTACAAGGTACTATAATTGAAAGTGTAAATATATAACTTTCAAACCAAAGCATTTATTCTTTTTTTTAAGCAAGGAAAAACTATTGTGTAAGTTTAATTAAGAGGACCACAAAGAAAACATGGGCTGAACTTATATGAAGATATAAAAAAAAAGATATAATAACTAGAACCTCAACATTAGCCGAGCACTTCGGGAAAACCCTTTCCCTTAGAATAGAGCCTCAGTTGCCCAAGATAGACTTTTTGTAGCCACGTGACCCAAATGAGACAGTCCTTTGGGAGTGAATTGTAAACCTGTTTTGTAGGTATTGTGTTTTTCAAACTTTATAGTATAATTCCGAGCAATATTGTATTGAAGCAAAAAAATAAAAGAAAGTGTCTACAAATTTAAGGGCAACAAAATATTTGTCACCATCAAAAAATTTGCAAGTAAGAAATCCATATTCATATCATATGACTAAAATAATTACTTAAAAAAATTTTTTTTCAAGAATTTTGCAAAATCAAAGCAAAGGAGGTTTTCTCATCTCTTTAAATAATCAAATCATTTTAAGGCAACAGGAAAACCCCATCAGTTATCATATCTTAAAATACATTCTGTAAACACTGGTCCCATATAGGTAGGTATCTGGATGCATATCAACCCAATATTTTACTACTGGGAAGTTAGGGACTAGTCTCCTCTACCTTAGCATTTGGTATTGTCCAAAGCTTTGGTTCAGCAAGCATAAACTGTTAAAGTAAAGCTGAACAAATTTACTTATTTTGAACTTTAATTTGAGGAAAAGTGGAGGAACAGATGTATGGGCATCCTTTTAAAATTAAGAACCTTTTTTTTGCTATCCTAATATGATGCTGAGTTTCTTATATGTTGTTAATACACATGTAAAGTTTTTGCAAAGTAATGACTTTGGCGACAGTTTTCTCTTGATGACTATCAATTATTTTGGGAATTAACTTAAATCATCCTAACTGATAACAAATACATGAACATGTATATTAAATCCAAAAATTAGACTAGCTTTTAGTGCACTTATAATTTTAAGTAAAACATTTAACTGATAGCTGTTCTAGACAGTAATGTTCTGGACAGTTCCAGACCTTTTGACCTTTAGAATAATGGAAAACTGGGGGGGAAAAAAATCTAATTTTCTGACTCATCTGTTATAAAGCATTTCATATTTCAAGTGCATGAAATATATCAAGCACCGCAAGGAAATGAAATGATGTCTGATACGGTTGAAAGGAAACACCAGAAGAGCTTGTTAATCATTTTCATATGACAAGACAGCACATGATGAATAAACTTCAATAAAATATTTGTAACCATACATAAGCAACCTACTTGTTTTGTTGAAGCACCTCTAAAAGTAATTATGTTCTATCTTCCAGTGACATTCAAAATCCATCAGTACATTTGTAATGATGAGTCATTTACAATGAAGACATGTTTTCCTTACAGTTCATATGACCAACTTTGTAAAAGTTATAAAAAAAAATTGACACATTACAATCATGTTAGTTTCTGCTATTTAGGACAGTTTTGAAATATATGTTTAGACATGAAAATGGTAGAGAAGATAAACTAAAGACGTGTACAAGTATGGGTCTGCTGGCCTTGCAGTCAACATTTTGAAGGGAATCTTTTGCCAGCTTCTTAAAAAATCTCATTCACACAGGGTACAGTACTCCTCCTATGTGGAAACTATATACACCCATGCCAACATATCTTTTAGCTCTGACTTTTAAAGGAACTGATTATAGTGCCTTCCAACATCATTAATGTCTATTTAGAGTTATTTTTTAATTTAGCAACCACTAACTTCAATATATATGGCCTTTTTTATTATTAACCAGTAAAAAGCACTTCCTAGTCAATGGTGACGAAAAGTGATACACATTTTAGAAAAGAGTATTACAAAAAATTAAAAACTGTGGTATGCATGTGTATTCAGGCCCTGGGCAGATGACAGAGCTCACACCACTACCTTTCAAAATGGACTAAGTTTATCATAACTGCAAGCATGCATGGTTGTCTACTGAAACTTAACAGACCCATAAAGCCGGATTACTGAAGAGGGTCTCTGTAAGGATGCATGGATATTTGGGAGAACTGATCAAAAGGGAAACCAATAGTTGTGCACTCCACAAATCTGAGTTTTGTGTAAGATTTTCAACTGTTGAAATATCCTTTGCATTTTGCTTAAAGCAAGTTATGGGACACTTTATACACTTGGATGGTTGGTTAAACTTACTTTCAAAACACAGTTTGCCTGAAAAAAATGCATGTAACCATAAACACAAACCCCCCGAAAGGACAGGCCTGTGGAGCCATTTGCTTTAAAGGTTTACCGTTTAGCATCATGACAGCAGTAAACATGCAATTAAGCTACAACCAAATGGCTTTGGTCAAAGCAAATTAATTATGGCCAGTCAAACCCAGAACTTAAATCTGGTTAAGAAATTGTACTAAAATTGTACTAAAATTTGCTTAATGTTAGTGATCCAAGCTGCCCTGAAACTTTTTTTTCCAGTATCTGGTTCTGGTCGACCACTTGCTGCTGCCCCAGACCAGTCCTGTCCCATCTGCTTGTTGCGAACATGCTGCTTTGATCTGCCAAGCCGTCATCGGGCGCATTCGGCTGGTGCAACAGTGCGTCAAGCTGCTGGCCTACAGCTGATTCCAGTGGGAGACAACCCCACGAACTGCTGTAAGTGATCAAAAAAGTTTCAACCTCTGTTGTTGC